CCCTCAGCTAACGAGCTTACCGAGCAACTGAGACATTCTCCAGCTCTTCTTCCAGGTGAGTCTTCTCCTGCCACAGTAGATCCATGCCTTCCCGTAGGCCATCCCTTTCCTGACGGCCAATCCGATGATCCCAAGATCACAACCCAAAACGTCACATATGGATGTTAATGGATGTGAATGGATGTTAGTAAACTACAGTAGGTTCGTGGATGTTGATGGATGTTGATGGATGTTAATGGATGTGAATGGATGTTAGTAAACTACAGTAGGTTCGTGGATGTTGATGGATGTTGATGGATGTTAATGGATGTGAATGGATGGAGTAAACTACAGTAGGTTAGGGGATGTTGATGGATGTTGGATGGATTTTAATGGATGTATGGAATGGATGTTAGTAAACTAAGTAGGTTTAGTGGATGTTGATGGATGTGATGGCATGTTTATAATGGATGTGAATGGATGTTAGTAACTACAGTAGAGTTAGTGGATGTTGATGCGATGTTAATGGATGTTAATGGATGTTAATGGATGTAGTAAATACAGTAGGTCTAGTGGATGTGATGGATGGTGATGAGGTAATGGATGTGAATGGATGTTAGTAAACTACAGTAGGTTCGTGGATGTTGATGGATGTTGATGGATGTTAATGGATGTGAATGGATGTTAGTAAACTACAGTAGGTTAGTGGATGTTGATGGATGTTGATGGATGTTAATGGATGTGAATGAATGTTAGTAAACTACAGTAGGTTCGTGGATGTTGATGGATGTTGATGGATGTTAATGGATGTGAATGGATGTTGGTAAACTACAGTATGTTAGTGGATGTTGATGGATGTTAATGGATGTTAATGGATGTGAATGGATGTTAGTAAACTACAGTAGGTTAGTGGATGTTGATGGATGTTGATGGATGTTGATGGATGTGAATGGATGTTAGTAAACTACAGTAGGTTAGTGGATGTTGATGGATGTTGATGGATGTTAATGGATGTGAATGGATGTTAGTAAACTACAGTAGGTTAGTGGATGTTGATGGATGTTAATGGATGTTAATGGATGTTAATGGATGTTAGTAAACTACAGTAGGTTAGTGGATGTTGATGGATGTTGATGGATGTTAATGGATGTGAATGAATGTTAGTAAACTACAGTAGGTTCGTGGATGTTGATGGATGTTGATGGATGTTAATGGATGTGAATGGATGTTGGTAAACTACAGTATGTTAGTGGATGTTGATGGATGTTAATGGATGTTAATGGATGTGAATGGATGTTAGTAAACTACAGTAGGTTAGTGGATGTTGATGGATGTTGATGGATGTTAATGGATGTGAATGAATGTTAGTAAACTACAGTAGGTTCGTGGATGTTGATGGATGTTGATGGATGTTAATGGATGTGAATGGATGTTGGTAAACTACAGTATGTTAGTGGATGTTGATGGATGTTAATGGATGTTAATGGATGTGAATGGATGTTAGTAAACTACAGTAGGTTAGTGGATGTTGGTGGATGTTAATGGATGTTAATGGATGTGAATGGATGTGAATGGATGTTAGTAAACTACAGTATGTTAGTGGATGTTGATGGATGTTGATGGATGTTAATGGATGTGAATGGATGTTAGTAAACTACAGTAGGTTAGTGGATGTTGATGGATGTTGATGGATGTTAATGGATGTGAATGGATGTTAGTAAACTACAGTAGGTTAGTGGATGTTGATGGATGTTGATGGATGTTAATGGATGTGAATGGATGTTAGTAAACTACAGTAGGTTAGTGGATGTTGATGGATGTTAATGGATGTTAATGGATGTGAATGGATGTTAGTAAACTACAGTATGTTAGTGGATGTTGATGGATGTTAATGGATGTTAATGGATGTGAATGGATGTTAGTAAACTACAGTATGTTAGTGGATGTTGATGGATGTTAATGGATGTGAATGGATGTTAGTAAACTACAGTATGTTAGTGGGTGTTGGTGGATGTTAATGGATGTTAATGGATGTGAATGGATGTGAATGGATGTTAGTAAACTACAGTATGTTAGTGGATGTTGATGGATGTTAATGGATGTTAATGGATGTGAATGGATGTTAGTAAACTACAGTAGGTTAGTGGATGTTGATGGATGTTGATGGATGTTAATGGATGTGAATGGATGTTAGTAAACTACAGTAGGTTCGTGGATGTTGATGGATGTTGATGGATGTTAATGGATGTGAATGGATGTTAGTAAACTACAGTAGGTTAGTGGATGTTGATGGATGTTAATGGATGTTAATGGATGTTAATGGATGTTAGTAAACTACAGTAGGTTAGTGGATGTTGATGGATGTTGATGGATGTTAATGGATGTGAATGAATGTTAGTAAACTACAGTAGGTTCGTGGATGTTGATGGATGTTGATGGATGTTAATGGATGTGAATGGATGTTGGTAAACTACAGTATGTTAGTGGATGTTGATGGATGTTAATGGATGTTAATGGATGTGAATGGATGTTAGTAAACTACAGTAGGTTAGTGGATGTTGATGGATGTTGATGGATGTTGATGGATGTGAATGGATGTTAGTAAACTACAGTAGGTTAGTGGATGTTGATGGATGTTGATGGATGTTAATGGATGTGAATGGATGTTAGTAAACTACAGTAGGTTAGTGGATGTTGATGGATGTTGATGGATGTTAATGGATGTGAATGGATGTTAGTAAACTACAGTATGTTAGTGGATGTTGATGGATGTTAATGGATGTTAATGGATGTGAATGGATGTTAGTAAACTACAGTAGGTTAGTGGATGTTGATGGATGTTATGGATGTTAATGGATGTGAATGGATGTTAGTAAACTACAGTATGTTAGTGGGTGTTGGTGGATGTTAATGGATGTTAATGGATGTGAATGGATGTGAATGGATGTTAGTAAACTACAGTAGGTTAGTGGATGTTGATGGATGTTGATGGATGTTAATGGATGTGAATGGATGTTAGTAAACTACAGTAGGTTAGTGGATGTTGATGGATGTTAATGGATGTTAATGGATGTGAATGGATGTTAGTAAACTACAGTAGGTTAGTGGATGTTGATGGATGTTGATGGATGTTAATGGATGTGAATGGATGTTAGTAAACTACAGTATGTTAGTGGATGTTGATGGATGTTAATGGATGTTAATGGATGTGAATGGATGTTAGTAAACTACAGTATGTTAGTGGATGTTGGTGGATGTTAATGGATGTGAATGGATGTTAGTAAACTACAGTATGTTAGTGGATGTTGATGGATGTTAATGGATGTGAATGGATGTTAATGGATGTTAATGGATGTTAATGATGGATGTTAATGATGGATGTTAATGATGGATGTTAATGGATGTTAATGGATGTTAATGTATGTTAATGGATGTTAATGGATGTTAATGGATGTTAATGGATGTTAATGGATGTTAATTGGGGTTTATAGATCTACTTATAACTGGCATTGTGGTCAACCCAGGGTCATCTGCGACCAAAATAGCATCCCCCGCAAGGAAACGGCCCGGGGATCTATTCATCCGGGGTTGACATTACAAAAACAGAGAGAGGGAGAGGGGTGCCATTGTTTACAAGCAATAGTGACAGCGTGATACAATGTCTGATGCAATATGATGTCATTTTTCAGAATTTTAAGACGCAAAAGCCCAAAACGCGCTGAATTGCCCGAACAGACTCTTCCAAAATCACTTGCAACTGCATTTGCAAATCTTCGCTTCTTCGCATCACCAGTTGTTTCTCCTCCAATAGCTGTGTCTCTTGGTCTCTTTCTATGTCCTCCTCTTCCGAGAATTGTCGCATCTTCTCCTCTAGGGAGGCAATTTTCATCCTCAGCTTCTCATGTTCTGCCTGCACCAAAAGCACTTCATCATTGGACGAACCCTGCGCTTCGGCAACCGAGGCTTGCATGCGCTGCACCTCCATTTGTAGGGTCTCCCGCCTTGTCTCGGCTTCAATCTGTTCCTGGCTCATTTCTTGCAAAGTTTTCTGCAAAGAAATCTTCTCGTTCTTTTGGTGTTCAGCTGAACTCATGACATCATCCATTTCAGCCTTGAGGTTTTCCACTTTGGGATTCCTTAAAGTTGAAGCCTTCTCCAACAGTCTTTGCCGAGAAAGCTGGACTTCTGCCTGCAGCTTGGCCTTCCGTTCCGCACTGGCCACTGCTGCTTGGGTCACCTGCTCCAGCTCTTCATGCTGTTGCGCCAAGCTCTGGGTCAGGCTTTGGGCCTCCGCCTGCAGCTGCACCAGCCGTTCCTCGTTGCGTCTCCGCAGCTGTTGTTCGGCCTCCAAGCGGTCCTGCATGGCGCGAAACGTGGGATCTTCCCTGGTGGGGGATGGCCCATCCCCCCGCGCGTGGAGCTCCAGAACTGCCTTGAGGCACCGGGACACGGCCTCCAGAAATGGGCTCATCTCATCCAACCGCGTCTTGCTGGCCTTGCGTTGCAAGGAGAGGGGCCGGTCCAGCATGGGCTTCTCCCTCTGAGCGCTGAATTTGATGGAAGCCAACGACAAGAGCTGCAGCAGCCGAAGGGTCTTGCCCACTTCCTTCCCTTTCAATACATCTGAGGGATCAAAATCAATCCGCGCACCTAAACAGGAAGAACTGGAGTCGGCGATGTATTGCAGAAGTTCGATGCGAGCATCCCTTGATTGTTCTGGCCACTCATGGGACATTGCCTGCATGAAGCCTGTCTTTTCTTGGATCAGAATGGCCACATCATGAACAAATTTGGGTGGTGGTCGAGCCAATAACTCCAAGGCTGTCCTCTTCTTGTTCAGGGTCTCCAGTGAGATGACCTGCTTCAAAACAAACTCCGTCCCTTCAGGACTTTCATCCACATCTTCCACAGACCACTCCTGGATGGGCCGCGACTCCCGGGGAGCTTTGGGAGCCTTGGGAGCTTCAGTTCCACTTCCTTCGCCCAGAAATGATCGAATTAGTTCCTCGTCCGGGGACATGGCCGTTGGGTTTGCGAGCCCTAAGAGCCCCAGGCCCTGTAAAACCAGTTCAGCCACCGGTTGCGCTTCGCCGGACATGTTGGAATCAACTTTGATCCGGGCTTGATTTTGAATCAGAATCAGGATGCTATCAATATCCTTCAGCACCTGCGCATACAAGGGGGACACGCCGCTATGATCCACAATCGGGGATGCATCACCTGTGTCAGGAGATTCTTCTTTCAGATCTCCCTTGATGATATCCTTAGTTTCCCCCAACCAAACAGACCGCAATGATGCTCTCCCAAATTCAACAACCGTCCGTTCGGGCTTATGTTGTCCGCCGATTGGTGATGAGCCATTAGTAACATTGGTACCCCCGTAAACTGGGAGTTTTGCAAAACCTTGGCCAAATAAAAAACAATAGGCAAATAACCCCCCAAAGATATAGAGCATTCGAAAATCCTGGGGGAGTTGGCAAAATCCTGAGGTTAACCCCAAATAAGGAAAATCCAGAGTCACATGGTTCAGACCGCAATTACTGTTTTAAAACATCGGAGAGAAATAAAAACATACGGTGAACATCACCGGGTCTCCACCCCCTGGGTCAGCCATTCTTCATGCGTTTCGCGCACCGCAGCAATGAAATTTTGCACCTTGGAACGGCCCAAGGTTTGAGAGCTACAGGTCTTGGCCACTTCACGTTTCAGCGTTTCCAACCTCGGCGAAGCCATAGATGCTGGGTTGTTAAGGGATCATAAGGGGAAAATCCCTCCATTCTTGATGCATAGTCCTCGTTTTCCTTGTTTTGTTCATGGAAAAACCTCAATTGTTCATGGATAATCCTCGATTTCTCTGGGGAACTATGATAGGTTTCACCCAAAAAAGGCTTCAGAAAAGGTGTAATTTATGCAAACTACCCCTCTATTCGACCGGCATTGACTGTTCATATGACTCCCATAAGTTGGGATACAGCCTCCATACTCATGGCTGTACATCTATATGCCCACATGTGCTTATTTCACCTGTTAAAACATGACTGGCTGGAAAATGCCAAGCTGGCTATATGGGAAAATATGGGCAGAATCATCGAAGCAAATGGAGGTGAAACTGGTGGGTATAACTGGTGGATTCAACCCATCTCATGGGTCTTGTAGGCAGTAGCTAGATATCACCCAAGTAAGATGCAACAAATTAAGACCAACCAGCTGGCCCTTCAACCACACCCCACAACATGCCAACATATGCCAACATATGCCAACATATATCCTCTAAATCTAACCAGCTGCCCCTGAAACACCCAGCAGATTCAAGGTATCCAAGGTACTTGGTCACCGCACGTCGAGCCCCGGTGCGTGCAATGGGCAGTTCATCTCCTCCTTCGCCATCCACCCAGAGCCTCAGATCTTCACGGAAGGCATTCTGATAGGCCACCACCATGGCACTCTCCTTCTTGCCTTCCTCAACGATCCTGGGATGGCCAACTTGACCAAAAAATGGAGAAAACATGGAGGGGGAAGTCCTGATTGGCTTTCTTCCCATCCAAGTCTTGGATTTTTGGGGCTATAAAAATCGATAAAAATGGAACATATCACCAATAGATTCCTCCATTTCCAATGGGGCAATGGGAAACCCAAAAATCAACCCCAGCTTAGGCCCAAGGGTCTCCGCTATGTCGGCCACCAGTTTCAACCACTGCTGAGGGAGCTCACATGAACACAGCTTTTCACAGAGAGGTGGCAGAGGGGTTGCTCCACCACAAACTTCTGCTGGCAAGGACTGGAGCGTATCCATCAGGCCCCTGATGGAGAGTTCCAAATCATTCTGATCTTCCAAGACCCGCAGGCGTTTGCGACACTCTTCCTGCATCGCCTTGGTCTGTTTCTTTTGGTCATCCAAAGCCTTGCTGATTTGACTTTCATGATCTGCTGATAGCTTGGCCTTATCTTCCCAGGTGCTACTCACCATCTGTTGCATGTCAGCCAGTTGACCCTGGAGCTTTTCCTGCATGGCTTTCCTCTCAGCACTTGCCACACCAATATCTCCACGATCCCCACCTGCTCCACTCTCCGAGGCAGCGAGTTTTTTCTTCAGTTCTTCAATCTCTGAATTCAGCCGAGAGAGTTGGGAAGCTTCCTCATTCCTTGGTGCCCAGTGAGCCATCGAGCCACCCGTTGGCAAAATCCTATGCTTGCCATTGGGGGATCCTCATCCTATGGGCTGAATATGAAAATCTTATGAAAACCACCTGCCAGATCACCAAAGTGGTTATATTACCCATTGCATAGCCATTGTATCCACGCTCCTTGAAAAAACCTTGAAGAAAAGTGGGTTGGAAATACTGGCTTCACCTCTGGAAACCACCAGCCATGATTCTTTGTGGCTGAAACTTTGATGGCCTTGGCCCGGTTGGCATATCGCAAAGTGGACATCGTCTCCTCATAGTTTGATGCTGCTGGGGAGAGCGTCGCCAACATGGTGCACAGAGAGTTTCCACCCAAGGATTCCTGCAGAACGCGTGTGAGTTTGGAGTTGCGAAAGGGAACAAAGGTCTTTTTCCCATTCGCAATTTCCACCAAGGCGTTGATGACATTGCCCAAGGCACTCAAACCTGGTTGGTGGTATACCTAGCCCTCTGAAAAATGTGAAAGTCAATTGATCATATTATTTCATATGATTTCATATTATTTCCAATCTATTTAAAAATAAAATTCATGTTCCAAAGCACCAACCAGAAACTCTTGTTGATGTTGGCACCTTCCTTCAAGGTTTGTCCACTGGCTCCAGTGCCCTTTTGCCTCTCCGAGCCCGCCAAATCCACCAGATTCAGCTTGGCAAAGACGTTCTTCGACTTGTCCTCTTCGTCCTTTTGGTGCACCTTAATGGTAAAAATGGAATGCGACCGCGAGCTCACCTTGGATGTGGAAAATCCATCAACGGGACAAAATTGGGTTTAGGTTTTCCCCATGTTTTCCACCCCCTTGTTGCTGCAACGGCTGTGAAAAATCACCAGTATTCTGAGGAAAAAAATGGCAAAAACCGCAGCGCATCCAGGTCTGGCGCCAGGTGGCTGAATTCATCAAGGTCGAGCTCACCGCTCGATTCTTGGTGCCGCTGTGCATCAGCTGCACCAACTTTTCAGCATCGCTGGCCACGATCTCCTGCAAGTCCTTAACATAAATTCCTTAGGGACGTTGCGCAGGCCCAGAAATGAACATAGAGCAAAGACAAATCGAGAGATAGTGATTAACCATTGATTACACCAAGATAGATAGGTAGATAGATGGATGGATAGATGAATAATTGATGATCTATAATTGTATAGCTTAGCCCACGGGGACATGTTTTCTCAGACTAAAGATTGCGACCAGAAAGAGTGTGCAAGACCCACATCCGGGGAATTTCTTTGATCCAGGTGTCCGAGCACGGGGTGCTCTTTGACTTGCAAGCCAGCACCCAGCTTACTCCGATCTGCACAGGGGTTGAACAAGTCAAAAATGATTTCATTGTAGATCTCGAAGAAGGAACCTCAGCATCGATTCACACAGTTTTTCACCAAGCAATCATCCCAAGGAGCACGAACAGTCACAGAAAAGGGAAAACGGATCAAAACGAAGAAAGGTCTTACCCTCTGGTTATTTAACATAGCCGTGGAAAATCACAATTTTCAACAGGTAAACCATCTATTTCGATTAGGGCCATCTATACCATGGCGAACTGTTAGTCATAACCAGAGGGTTTAGTCATCGCTTGCGTCAAGTTGCACATGACAAGGAATTGCCGGCTACTTGTGGCCTGTTGTTCATTAATCTGTGCAAACAGTTCTTCATTGACCCTAGGAATGATGCCTTTCAGATCACCGGAGCCGCCCATCATACACCAGGACTTCCCACTGCCAGTCTGTCCATATGCAAAGATGGTCCCGTTGTACCCCGTCAGGGTGGAATTCACGGCGGCACGGCCAATGGCCTCAAAGACCGTTTCCTGTAGACTTTCGGTGCCAAAGACTAAATCAAAAGCGAAGCTGGAGGGTTTCTCCTTATTCTCGGGGTCATTGATGACCACACTGCCTGTCTCACCACTGGCTGCAGTCTGTTCCACCAGTTCAATGATGCTGGACTCATTGTTGCCGACTTCTTTGGTCGACAAAGGTCTGAGGCGCACGGCGACTTTGACACAGTCACTCTTCTTCTCGTCCATGGTCAGTGACCATGGTGATCTACCCGAGGCTTGAGCCCAGCCCGTGCGGAGATGGACATCTGGGCACCTTAAAAAAATCCCTGAAACTTCAGCATTTCAGAGCTATCAGAACATGATGACGAATGCTGCGTATGACAATAATAATCATCATCTATCAGTATTGTTTTATCTTATGTTCAGCACATTTCAGCACCTATCATTCGCAGTGCCAAAGCCTATCACGCAACTCAAAACCCAGCCATGGCTGGCAGCCGATTCATCTCTAACACTTCCCTTGGCTCATCTAGCTTTAAAAAAGTCCATAACATGGGAGACACTCGCCTCCTTCAACTTCTCAACCCAACCGCAATAGAACTGCAGTACTCAAGTGGATGTGTTCGGAACACCTGGCTGGGCAAAGCCCGTTGTGGTCATGCCAATGGGTGCCCGCCCGCTCCTTTTGCGTCACGGTATGTCACGGTGCTGTGTGATCAACTCCTACATTGGGCTGCAGTCTGTGGCTGTCAAACTATCCTTCATGCGGCACAGGTCAAACTCCTTGTCATAGACGCACTTCACAAAGACGTCTGTGTCAGGTTTCACGGTTTCATTCTTGGATTTCATCTCTTTTGCGGTGTGCAAAATTGTATAGTAGCCTTCACACTCTTCCTGCGAAAAGCCATTGCAGTGCCCTGCTGGGGATTTTTTGAGTTTGCGAAGTTCGGGGCACAGCTTGGATTCACAGCACTGCTCATCACTAACTCCTCCTTCTTTGGAAGGGGATGGTCGTAGAGTGCCTTTTTGGCATTCATGAACCGCACAGGTTTTGTCGCAGCACACTTCATCACTGGAGCCAAGGACGGAGGCTTTGGAACCTTGGTTGATTCGGGCTGATTCCGCAGCTTTCGGGGAAGTAATGGTTCCTTCCTCCGGTGAAATGAAAAAAAACACCAGAGAAATCCAGGGTCAATCGTCCATCCAGCTGGTTGTCATCCACATCCCATATAAATGGCTGACTATTCACTGATACAAAATCATACAAATCCAGGGAACTGTTGGTGAGCCAACCCTCACTGCACTCGTGGATCTTACAGCTCTTCTCACAGCACTCCTCGGCACCTGGATGCTCCAACAACTGGGGGATTGGACAACGATTGACTATGATAAAAGCATACTCATTATAGAGATATACGTGCCGCCAAAACACACACACACATAGATAGATAGATAGATAGATAGATAGCTAGCTAGCTAGCTAGCTAGCTAGATTAGATTAGATTAGATTAGATTAGATTAGAGTAGAGTAGAGTAGAGTAGATTAGATTAGATTAGATAGATAGATAGACAGACAGACAGACAGATAGATTAGATAGATAAGATAGATAAGATAGATAAGATAGATAAGATAGATAAGATAGATAAGATAGATAAGATAGATAAGATAGATAAGATAGATAAGATAGATAAGATAGATAAGATAGATAAGATAGATAAGATAGATAAGATAGATAAGATAGATAAGATAGATAAGATAGATAAGATAGATAAGATAGATAAGATAGATAAGATAGATAAGATAAGATAAGATAGATAAGATAGATAGATAAGATAGATAAGATAGATAAGATAGATAAGATAGATAAGATAGATAAGATAGATAAGATAGATAAGATAGATAAGATAGATAAGATAGATAAGATAGATAAGATAGATAGAGATAGACAAGATAGACAAGATAGACAAGATAGACAAGATAGACAAGATAGACAAGATAGATAAGATAGATAAGATAGATAAGATAGATAAGATAGATAAGATAGATAAGATAGATAAGATAGATAAGATAGATAAAGATAGATAAGATAGATAAGATAGATAAGATAGATAAGATAGATAAGATAGATAAGATAGATAAGATAGAGATAGATAGATAAGATAGATAAGATAGATAAGATAGATAAGATAGATAAGATAGATAAGATAGATAAGATAGATAAGATAGATAGATTAGATAGATAGATAGATAGATAGATAGATAGATAGATAGATAGATATCTATCTAGATAGATAGATAGATAGATTAGATAGATTAGATTAGATTAGATTAGATAAGATTAGATTAGATTAGATTAGACTAGATAGATAGATAGATAGATAGATAGATAAGATAGATACGATAGATACGATAGATAAGATAGATAAGATAGATAAGATAGATAAGATAGATAAGATAGACAAGATAGACAAGATAGACAAGATAGATAAGATAGATAAGATAGATAAGATAGATAAGATAGATAAGATAGATAAGATAGATAAGATAGATAAGATAGATAAGATAGATAAGATAGATAAGAGAGATAAGATAGATAAGATAGATAAGATAGATAAGATAGATAAGATAGATAAGATAGATAAGATAGATAAGATAGATAAGATAGATAGATTAGATAGATAGATAGATAGATAGATAGATAGATAGATAGATAGATAGATAGATATCTATCTAGATAGATAGATAGATAGATAGATTAGATAGATTAGATTAGATTAGATTAGATTAGATTAGATTAGATTAGATTAGACTAGATAGATAGATAGATAGATAGATAGGTAGGTAGGTAGGTGGATAGATAATATTATAACTGTAGATTTCGACCCCAAACAAACATATACCGTAATGACACAGTTTTATGTTTCTTCAATACAGTGTAAAGACCCCCTAAAAACCTCAACCCAGGGCGCTGGTTGCCAGCAGCTTGGATTTCGTTCGATCGCGCACCCAGCCCTCCGGGCATTGGAAAGCAGCACAGGTCTTCTCACAACAGCGGTCGTTGGAAGGATTAAACAAGCCTCGTCTCATTGCGCAACGGTGTCATCAAACATGGCTTGCCGGAGAATAAGGAAAATAGATAGATGGTTTAATATGGATAATAATGTGGATAACCATGGGATACTATTGGAGGTTTAATATAGGTTTATATGGCTTAATATCTAATATGGGCAACAACTTGATATTCACTGAGAAAATTGGGACATGATGGGGTGAGGTTGACCATTGGGATTTCGAAATAACTTGCATCATCTCACATGAGATGGGTGATTTAATTGGGACATCGTGGATTATAATGGGATAATGGTTTATAATTCTATCTAATGGGAATCAATCAGACCACAGCATGGTCTTGGATGTGCTGGAAGTGGGCTATAGAAGATTGAACGCTAGGCTCCAAATAAAAAAAAAACATAGACTGACAAAGAATTGATTAAATAATATCTGATAAATTAGTGGATTAACATAGATTAAACGATTTTAACATAAGAATATGCAGCACGTCCAGGAACATATGGAACATATGGAGAACATATGGAGATGGGTCAAAACCCTACACCCCTGGTGAACATCAAAATAGCTCGGGTTTATGGATTTCCGTCCTACAATGTATAGTTTAAAGATTCTTTGAATCCATAAATAATTTATTGGCCTTTAGCCCGTCATCACAGATATGCTTGGAAAAATATGACACATATTGAAACAAAACAACAGCAAGAAGCCATTCTTGGTGGCATCCTTCACATAGCCGTGGCCACAAACGTGATGTTCACAGGTCTTTTGGCAGCACTCCGTCTCCTTCTGTGGCACGCTCTTCAATCGGTTCTCCGGCACTTTCCACCCAACGGCGCATTTCACCAACGAACAAGTCTTGGAACAGCATTCCTCCCTGGTCACACCCACTTGATCCACTTTCAGGTCATTCACCGCCCATCCGTCACCACAGGACATCAGCGCGCAGCGAGGTTCGCAACAGACTTGGTCCGAGTCGCCCACCCACGTGGATCGGTACTCCGAGGGGCTCCACAAGACGCCGCACTGGTGGAGTTCGCAGGTCTGAGCACCTAGGGACAACGAGTCGCCCAAGCAATTCTTCCCACAAGTTGCGTGCCCCAGTTCGTTCAGTTCAAATTTATGCGTCCGATAACTGGGAATTATTCTTGTGATTTCTTGTGTGTAAAAATGTTAACTATATATGTCATGTATATATACAGTACATATATATATTATGAGATACATACATAATATACAGTATAATACTTATATAGTTATCGTATGTTATCGATGTTATCGTGGTTTATATAAACCTTAAGTTTTTACTGGGGGGCACCATGTGAGCGATTTCCCATTGGTAAAAACTGCCCAGGCGCAGCATTCCTCGTGCGTGAGGTTCACCTTTGACGCTGCGGCTTCCACCACACGATATCCGTCCCGACACTCGAAGGACTCACAGGTCTTGTCACAACAGACTTCCGCTGACCAGCCGGTGTTGCTCTTGTACAAGGCATTGGCCTGGGGGCCACAAACCCAACACCCCGCTGGCAAACCGAAAAAAAAAAGTCGGGGATCACCCTCCGATTTCCAGAAAATGAACCGAAAGATCATGAATCTGGCAGTCCTCATATTTTTACCCTATCCATTTTGAAACAAAAAAACAACTGGGGGGCATCCCACGGGATTCCAGCCATGCTGAAGCTGGGCCTTATATCCCGTAGGGCATTGAAAGTGCTGACATGTCCTCTGACAACACTCCTCATCGCTGCTCCCCGTGAATTCACTTTGCGGATGTCGTGGCATCCATCCTTACGACACGAAAGTCTGGCCCTTTTCGATTCCGTCCGAATGGATTCCCCATTTCTGGTGGAGCAAGCAGTGTTGGTGGAAAAACACCAATGGAATACATTGAAAACATTGGAAACCAATAGAGAATGACAATAATGATGGTAAGTAATATAGAGTAATCATAGCAGCAACAATCAGAATGATAACAATCGCAATAACGGACATACAATGACACTGAGAATCGGCACTGACACAGTAGATACAGTATTGATGATAAGAAACCTCCACAAACCCTGTCCAAGGCTCCCATGCTGCTGTCACACTGCCAATTGCAACATGAGTTCTTGGGTGCTGCTGAATCACAATGGCTCAGCCGCCGACCGGCGCTGCTGTGACTGCTGTGCAGCAAAGCGCTACATGGCGCAAGGCAGCAAAATGCTGCTGGAAGCCAACCGAAGCGGAAAGCTGGGCACTTCATTGGGAAAGCTACGGGCCGACTGGGCCGAAAGCTCCTTCAACAAAAAGAACGAGAAATATATGAAACACTGATGACATATGATGACTTGTCAGATGCACAATGAATGATGATATCAATGGAAATCATGGATGATGACAATGATGCACCATGATGCACCTATTGTTGCCATGCCGCCCCCAAAAAAATGGCCGATCGCGGTCGACACCCCACACTGGCGGTCAAGGATGGTCATGGAGAATCCACCGCTATCAATTCATAGAAACCCTCATAGAAACCCTCATAGAAACCCTCATAAGAATGGATAGCAATGGTGGATTGTCAGAACTACTGTAATTAGTCAAAATGGGATTAATGGTGATTGAATCAGTGATCTGATTCTGTCAATCTGACATTCATAATTATATCATATATTACATGTAATATATCCATCTGGTTGGTGGTTTCAACCATCTTGAAAAATGATGGAGTTCGTCAATGGGTTTCGGATGACATCCCACATATGAAATGGAAAATATATATAAAAAAATATAAAAAAAATCCAAAATGAGGATATCATTGGTATGTAAGCAACATTAATCAACAATAATCAACATTAATCAACAATCACTGGTATGTATCAGTTTTTTGTCAGGGCTTCGCGAAGGATTTGCCCTACCAATTGGCTTGCATCCATTGGTATGTATCTTAGAAACATAAACATGTAGGTTCTCATACAATCAGCCATTCATATTCCATTACCAGAGGGTTAATCACCATTAAATCACCATTGAATCACCATTGATCAACATTGGTTTCTCAGAATTCACGAAACCTCCATTTTTCGAACCGCGCACGAAACTGCGGTGCGTTCGGTTCGCTCAGGGTGGCGCCAGCGGATCGGATCTCAGAGGGGCCCCGGCCCGGTCCCAAGAGTTGGTGCTTCTCGCCATGGAAAAAATGGGGATTTCACAGATTTGCCCATGGAAAATGGATGAAAAATGCTGGAAAATGGTGGAAAATGGTGGAAAAATGGTGGAAAATGATGGAAAATGCTGGAACATGATGGGATATTTCATGGGATACAATGATGGATAATGATGGTATCATGGATTTACTTGGTCGTTAGCCGGAAATGGTAAGTGGGTCGCTGAGAGGGAAAAAACAGTTGTAACTGGAATAGCCATCAACTGGGGTCAACCAGCAAGTAGGTCCAGTTTTGAAACCATCCAAAACTAAGGTGTCTGCAAGCTGTCTTTTCCCTAAACCCTCAAAACCCTTTCAATTACCCATCAAAATGGGTTTTAAAGTACCAAAACTATCAGACAAAATGGGTAAAACTATATAAATTGCACCATTTATTTGATGGGTCCTTGGAAGGTCCGGTCTAGGTATGTTGCTGTCTGTGTCACGTGTCGATGCGAAACGCTTACGCTACGCCGCCTTTATCCCCACAGCGCAACGCGCTAGGCTCGATCGAATCATCCCCATGGATCACCACTGGAGTCATCATGGGTTATCCCTTGGCTGGTTGGTGGTTGACCTACTTGGTTAATGGTGATTAATGGTGGTTAATGGTGACTAATGATGGTTAGTGATGGTAAATGATGATTAATTATCTGGCTGGTGGTTTGAGCCCAACCCCTCTGAAAAATGATGGAGTTAAAGTCAGTTGGGATGATGAAATGCCCAATATGATGGGAAAGTCATAAAATTCCATGGTTCCAAACCACCAACCAGTTATATAACCCAACTTCCTGTGGCTTATAAGCTCACGAATCCTACATCAATTCTGATCCGTAGATGATCCGATGATCACCACTTCTGAGGATGGAACAAGTTCAGCTTTCCACTTCCTCCTGGTCCAGCAGTTGGCAAGTCTTCCAGGTAAGCCTCAACGGCGGTTCGGTGGAGAAGTTGGTAAGATACTCGAATACCCTGGAATGTTTTGAGGAAAATTGCAAGTGGTTTGAGTGCAAATGTGTGCCTTTTTTGGGGGGGTCCCTTCATCCAAATTCAGCTAAATGACATACCCTCTGGTAAACTAACATAACTATGGAAAATCACCATTCACCATTTTTAATGGGGATATCAACTATAAATGGCAATTTTCCAGTTCGCAAACTGTAAACGTTTACCAGGTCGGGTAGTCTAACAGTAGGTTTCACGCCTGGAAATCATCAAATCCAACTCTCAGCGCCTGGAATGCCTTCATCGTGCTGCTGAAATCCTTTGTCTTTGCTGCTTTCTCAAACGCCGCAGAATCCTCGAAGAGCGACAGAAAAACTATGACAAACTCCTGGGGATGCCTCAAATCTTGGATGTTGGAAGCCCATGAAAATCGATCTACCCTTCAGATCCCGTATCAGAAGCGCCATCTAAGAATTGCCATCGCCAGAAGTATCCAAAACTGAGACTTGAGCCAGCCCCTATTTCACCAGCACTGGACAGTGGATGACAGTGGACATAAACAAATATTGATCCATCTGTGAAAATGGACAAATCCCGTATATGTTGTGGTTACATATATAAGTTGTAGTCATCCCCATTTTTTCTTTTCAAAAAAAGTGATAGTTCATTCCTTCAGTAGGGATTCACTTGTTCCATGTGTGTGGAGATAACTATATCTATATATATATATGTATTATACTATTATATGTACATATAGCATCATATAGCCATCCTGGAGCAGATAGAATATGAAAAAAAAACATCCCCACTAAAATGGGAATAACGTTGAAAATCCCATAGTCCATCTACTTCGGGATGGCTGTGTCATGTTATATAATATCCCACATCACCATCATAAAAATCATAGAAACCTCATGAAACATCCCCATCTGATACAACTCCCTGCTCTCCTTGAGGAGTGTTCTGCTAATCTTATCCGGGACAACATCTTGCCTTTGCAAGGCGCCCCATTTGTCCATCGCCTGAAGGATGGCTCCATAAGTGGGGATTGATTACCACTGGAACGATCGCTGGGAAACCAATGGGAAACATATCCGAGATATACAAACTTACCATCTGGTTATGACTAACAGTTCGCCATGGAAAGATCCACCATTTTTCAGAACGGTAAACCATCTATTTCGATTAGGGCCATCGAAAAACCATGGCGAACTGTTAGTCATAACCAGGTTGGGTATGGATAAATCTATAGGGATGAAATCCAAACCATGGCCAAACCCTGGGGATCTCTGTTTTTTCTGCATCAGCTTCAGCCCGTCTCTGAGCTCTGCACCTTTCTCATCTTGGGTAAATTGGAAAGCCAGTCGTCCTCCACCGCACCACTGGCCTTGAGGGACTTGTAGCCATCAACGATCTTCGGAGCATAGCCTGGCGGCATTGCCCCGCGGCGCATGCTGCAGACACCTTCACATGCTATGGAAAAGGATCCATGGTGCTGCTATATATGGTGTGCCATGGATCCCATCAATATACCCCCTTTATGTTAGCATATATACCAGCACCATGGATCCTATGGCTATGGAAAAGTAAACATCATCCACGCGAATTTAGGAGTCTGCCCACTCTTACTCAGATATGACGTGCGTATGCGTGAGTGACTTATATCATCGCATATCACCACCGATAAGCTGATACCTTGCTGCAGTATGGAATTCTTGTCAGCCAGATTGTGTCTGAGTCTGCTGCGTTTCCTGCCAGCGTATAGATCTCCAACCTTGAGATTCATGACAACTGACCACCAACAACTGACAGTACCACAGTAAGACTTCGGCAAAGCGTCCAACAATAAAGTCAACCCCGGATGAATATAGACCCTGGTTGATGAATTTGGGCCTTCCCCTAAAATTGTATAAAATTGTGATAATTGGCTACTAAAATGGTACCCCTTCAATTAAACAGCCTACTGGTCTAGTAATCCGGGGTTGACATTGTCGACATTCAGAAGACTTTGATGCCAGGGAAACACGGAAAAGTCAAAGAGGACTATGAAACTATGAAATCTTGTGATAGCGTGCTGCAATGCAGAGAGAACTAAGCATCATCAGAATGGAAAGATGCGAACTATCCTTTAAACTTTAGATGGAGACAGCATACGCATCTCAAAAACCAGAATGGAGACAGCAAGGAACTCGAAATAAGTAAACTGGAGGTTTCAACCGAAAAATCTGTTGGGGCCATCCCATTTTCAATGATTTCCATGGTCGAGGAGCATCAGGCACGCCATCAAGGCTCGCCCAGCTGGGCTGACTGCCGCCCAAAAGCCTGGGTTTTTTTGACCAGAAATCCATTGGCTCATCAGCATCTCCTGTGATTTCATAGGGCAACAAATCACCATTAGACCATGGCTTACCCAATTTCCAGTGCCGGTCAACGGACAGCTATCATCAATGGGGGTCTCACCGACAGCATGTGATTCCCACCTTTCCTTCTAAGTTTTGCCGTTGACTTTGAGCTGCCGACATGGCACCCACTTGCAGTACCCCTCGTCGGGACTCGTGCTCATCCTTGGCCTTCGCCCCAAGACCCGGCTCAAGGACGAATTTCTGTAAGTCAGGATGCGCATGGACACTTAATTGACTTAATTTCACAAACATGTTTAATACAATTAGTTATTTAGTTATTTAAACCAATGCAATCCAATACAATATTTTCACAGATACACACACAATATAGATACATACAATAAGATATGTAATATGAGATATGAGTAACATGTATCTGTATATTGTATGTCAAATAACGAAACAGATCAGTTTGAAGACATTGCGAACATCTCAACCTGGTCACTGTGCCTGCGCAGGCGCTGAGGCTCGCAGCCCTGCTGCCACTTTGAGCTGAGCCTGTTGCAATGCGGTATTTAGGAGGTACCATTCCAAACAAGTCCAACATAACCATGGATGGCTTATGAGATGGCTCATCATCTGTGCAAATGCACCTCTTCCGCGCTACACTATAGCTGGCAAATGGAAACTCGCCCGCCCAAATAGCATTCCCATAGTGAATCTGGTTTCAAACCCTTAGGCATCCTTAGACACATCATGATCATCATGATCATGACACATCCATTGAATCCATTTTCTACATAGTTTTCCTCATTTTCTACCACATCAACCGGCACTTCTTCGGCGCAGTCCTGGCAGAAAGCCATACTGCCAGCATAGAGAGTGGCCAGCAGCCACCATCGCCTGCAGGTTGACGAATGGGAAAACCCACTGGACCGAGGATTGTGTGTCTCAAGTTCGATGCCCGCAACATGACAACTTGAGACACACAATCAAAAATTAAGTTGCTTAAAACCAAGGTTAAAATCGTAATTTTGATGGCTAAAACATTGTCAAGATTACGATTTTAACCATCAAAATTGGGCCCTATAGGGAGCTTTTCGGATTCTCAGCAGCTACATATTGAAATTGGGAATCAATTTCATGGGCTCAATGGGCCTCACGAAAAAAAATGATAAGAAATGGTGATTCTGCACCCATGACCTGTGGATACTACTGTGGTTTGACAAAAGGCACCTGTGAGCATTGCGGCTAGCCATCTCCGATACCAAAAAAACTTACAAGATGTTTCGGGGGGCTGTGCTCAGTGTATGCCATTGTATGCAAGCTGGGGGGCTGTGTTGCTTTCGAATCCGATATATAACTCTCTGAGTTGGACTCACCAATGGAATTTGCTGCTCCAGGGAATCTGTGTCACGCTTGAGCACATTCGAATACCCAGAGAGGAAACCACCAAAAAAGCAGCAACTGCATGATGACGACACGTCGATGACAGAGCGGCTCATTTTCTTCGAAGGCCGCTCAGTTCCAAAGTGAAACCCAAAGATTTCCAGCGATCAGATGCTGTTCGATTCAAAATGTCCCATGTTTCGTAAAACATGGAGGTCTGTTTGAAAGAATTAAACGAGACACCAAACTCAACGATCCACTGCCGTAACTTCTGGGTGCAGGGAAGAAACAGATGACCTCTGCCTGTCCAAAAATTCCAGGCTTGAGGGCTTTCTGTGTCGCCGGACGAATTGTGCGGAGGTTGATGCGCAGAAACGGCCATCAAAGGACGAATGCTAAACCATTCCCTGCCCAAAATGTCAGTGGTTGGAAATGGAAAGATCTGGGCTTGTCGCAAACAGGCGGCGAGCATCAAATCTTCACGGTGCCCCGTGGCCAAAGCACAGGATTGAAAGTCCGGATATTCCACCAATTCATTGGGAGTCGCCAACAAGACTTCGTGCAAGGCTGACAAAGCAGCCTGAGACAAACAAACTCCAGGGCCACCATCATTGAAAACAAAGCCAGTTCGAGGTAGGTCCAAAAATTGTCGAACTCCCAAGTAATGTGGCTTCGAGGCATCCAAGCGCTCAGATGTCACAAGTAGCCGAAAATTCTCTGGGATGAAAAAGGTGTCCCGCTCCAAGCGGCAATACCACCATTGTCCAACCTGTCCAAGCCCAGCCCGATGTTCACCAGCCCAGCGCAGCATGTGCAACCTGGTTGGTGGTTTCAACCCTGGCATACCTACCCCTCTGAAAAATATGACTTCGACAGTTGGGAGGATGAAATTCCCAACTGAATGGAAAGTCATAAAATTCATGTTCCAAACATTTCCAAACCACCAACCAGCAACAGTTTGATAATCGTATTGAAAGTGTCATGTCGTGGACGCTCTCCTGTCTCTCGATGAAATTCGTCTCGATCGGGAGGCACCACTGGATACCAGGCATGCAGGTTGATGACGGACATCGCCACGTCCTGCGTGGCCTGCGTGGCTTTGGCTGCGATGTTGTCGAGAACGCGTTGCGACACTGACTCTGAGGAGATGAAGAAAAGGAGTTCATCGCAATCACCACCAAAGGTCTCCAGAATTGCTTGCAGGAATGCTTGCTGCCGTGGCCAAACGATGGGCACCAAACAACTCACGCTTGGCAATTGCATGGGGCCTGTAAGTCCTATGCCTTTCCAAAAAGGTTCGTTGATGTTCAGCACTTCGTGATTCCAGCGCCGCACTTGTTCATCAACAATGGCACCCAAGCGTTCCTATCAAGGTTTGCGACTACCACCTTGAAACAGTGGAACACCTTGGAGCAGTCTCCCCAGTCCCGGTCCGAAGGTCATATACTTGCTTCATGCTGTTTCTTACATGTCATATTTGGATATATATATATATATTATGAAAAATATTTGCTTTACCACATGATTACCACATGTTACCACAGTGTGTTGTTTGAACACGAACTTTACCTTTCCCGTCTCATCTTCATTTCCCTTGCCCTCCTCACTGGCACTTCTCTCGGGCATTTCAATTCCCGACGGTGTCGCCAGTGGACATTCCAACGTTCCGCCTTCGATTCTTTCTCGCAGTTCCCCTCCACTCTTTTCATCCATTTCCACAAGGACGTTCGCCTGCAAGCGAAGCAATTCCTTGGATGAGACATTGAATGCTTTGCTCCAATCTGAGGTGTCGAAACAGGACGTCCCACCATATGCAGCCATCTGCTGTAAGGCAGCGTCATAGAAAAGGAACGCAGCGCCTAATCCATGGACCTTAGCCGCACAAATTGATGCCTCCACAACTCTGGCTGCAGCGCATTCGGCAGAGAAGGCGAAATGAAAGCGGCCATTCTCATCGACCTTCAAAGTACACCCAGGGGACACGCCGTGCTGGGGAACTTCGTTGCACTTTGCACATGGCCAGAGGCCGCCAGCAAAATCCAATGGAGAAAAACCAGATATCCATAGGATCCGTGAGATCTTTGTCATCACATCTGAGTTGCGATCAAAAAAACATGTGCAACGTTGGGATTTAGGGTTGTGTTTCATGAATTTCATGTTTTGGTGCATGCAAGTGTTTCTTGTGTTCGTTGCACTGCCACCCAAAACAAAACTAAGTCAGAACATGTCAGAAAATTCAATTTTAATGAATTCCGACGCTTTTGCGACGAAAATGACAGTTTTCATGTCTGTGGCAATGATGGCAATGCTGTTTGCCAAAACATGTCTTGCGATTACAAATTGGAATGATCTTGGCTGCGGCCACTTTGGATTGGCATCCTTCTCGGCTGCAATCGACCCTCATATCACAGCCCCCCGGTAAAAATTACCAACAAAAACCAACAACATATTCCAAACAAAGGAATGATATCGATCAAACGGGGTGTCCCTTGTCAATTGGTACGTTTTGGCTTAGTCCATGTTCATTGAATTTGTCTGGGTACTGTTTTTTTCTTTGAATTGTTTGTCGGCAAAACCGACGCACGGATAACTGGAAAATTTGGCATATGGTACAGGTAATTTCTCCTATTCAACCGAAATATTATTTTCAATCATGGACACAACTAGTTGAATATCGCAAGACCGAATAGCCCACATCCGCACGGAATCTTACACCCTATCACCAAGACCCACCGACCATTGTTTTTCCTCGCGCACAAAAATTTCGAATTCGTTCCCGCAATCACACAAAATTATGTGCGACGCTGCAAAAAAAAACCGAGTTCTGTAACAAACAAAACCCTTATATTTCAACTGTCCACTGGTGCAACGACATGCAAACTTGCAAAACATTAAACCGAATAGCATCCAACAAGGTTTCGTTGGAATCAGATCCCTGCATGATTCGCGTGGATAAAAACAAATACTTTACTTCCCCACCTTGCGTTTTGAAATGCAACACCATTTTTTCACCATCTGCTTCTATGCTGCCGCCATTATCGCAAAAAAATGCCGCATGATCTTCAAAACAATCGCTTCCATCCATGTCCAATTTCCAAAATGCCGCAAAAAAAAAGGTTCACCGCCAAAAACTCGACAAACGTCGGCAAAACACTGCTGGGGATATAATTTGGCAATAAGGTCATTCATTTTATTCACTGATACCTTTTTAGGGTCTAGATCCGTCGGGTTTACATCAGCTACCTTTTTCAACCAAAGTAAGATGTTTCAAAGCAGCCTCACTTGAGACAGTTTGAACACTGTCCACGGTTGACAATGCCATATCGTGTTTCCAGAAATAGTTCAGAATTGCTCGCCATGACCCAAACTTGCCCGACAAAAATGCTCAAAATTGCTCGACACGACCCCAACTCGCGCGAAAAAAACTGCACAAAATTGCTCAAAGTTGCTCAAAATTGCTGAAGATGTTTGAAAATGGGCCGCGAAGTGTCTATAGGGGTGATGTGCTTGCATATTCAAGTGCGAAAGTTGCCATTACTTGGCATTGCTGTTGCCGGTGTATTTTGCTGCATGGGCCAATGCCAATTGAGCCCAGGTGCTATGTTCAGAACCTTCGATCGTCAGTTTCAACTGACAGGGATCACTTGTCATTGGATTGGCTGTCATGGTTTCAATATGTTTCAATTAACGGTTTAACCCGGAAAAAAAAACATCATTGCTTTGATAGAAAAAACCGTTCATGCCCGCAGTTTCTTTTATTTCATTACTGCCTCTTGGCGATATCACAATCAGACATGAACTCCTGGAATTTTGAAAGATTTCTTGCGATTTTGAAAGGTATCGGATCTAAACCTGTGTTAAATTTCGCGAGTGAGGGTGTTTGGCTGAAAATAAGTGTTTTTGGAAAACTAGTATCCTCACATGTGTTTTGCGCGAGCTGGTCGTGCTCAATTGCTGAACTGACCTATCTGAGCATTTGGGGGCCCACAAGTACCACGTTGAATTTGCCTAACATTGGTGCTGTTTTTGTTGGTATTCTGGATTGGTCACCTTATGGCATACCTGCAACATCGCACTCTCCCAACGTGATGTCTTTGTTGACTCGATATTGTCTCTACCTATAGGACCAGTGTGAGAGCACAATTTAACAGCCAATGTGCCAATGGTATCCCTCCTTAATTGCATAATTTCAACTTCATTTTGCACCGTTTGTTTTTGTTTTGCAGACCCCGCTTCATATATTGTTGTTGTCTCACTCAGCGGTACCTCAATAGACCAGAGTTAAACCACAGTCAGCCAAACCTCAGACAATATCGGCACAGCTTCTGCGATTGGCACATGTGACCAGATGTTCCTTCTTAGAAACAACTTGTTGTGTAATGTTTCTCCAGGGCCAATGTTTGGTGTTTGCATCAGAATGCATGTTGGTTTTGGTGGCACGTAGAGATCAACAACACAATTTGTGAGAGCAAGGAAGTTTATCTGCACAGGACCGTCAAGCAACATCGGCTGTGAGTTGCAAACATGCCCAATATGTTTCAAAAAAATGTTTCGTGCCAATGTTATTTGAATGCTCTCTCTAAATGTTGTCTGAATGTTGTCTCTGGAGACAACATTCAAACAACTTTGGCTGCGAGTTGCAAACATATCCAAGATCGTTCACAAAAGTTATTTCTTGCAAATGTTGTGTTGTCTGAGTGTTGTTTGAATGTTGTCTCTGGAGACAACATTCAGACAACTTTGGGCCGGAGTTGCAAACATATCCAAGATTAAAAAAAAAAAAATCTTGCAAATGTTGTCTGAATGTTGTCTCTGGAGACAACATTCAGACAACTTTGGCTGCGAGGTGCAAACATGTCCAAGATTTTCAAACAAAATGCAAATGTTGTCTGAAACATTGAGACAACATTGAGACAACATTGAGACAACATTCGGGCAAAAGAAGTGTTTTTCGCCTTTTTTTGGCTCAAAATAAGTGTTTTCGGCCTTTGAAAAAGGTCAAAAACACTTATTTTGTCCGAATGTTGTCTCTGGAGACAACATTCAGACAACATTCATTAATTTGCTGCGAGTTGCAAACATGTCCAGTTTTTTTGTCAACAAAATGTGTTTTGTGCCAGTGTTGTCTGAATGTTGTCTCCAGGGGCGGCATCTGGACAACATTCACAACATTTGTCTTTGCTATTTTTTTGCAGAAACATGTGTTTAAGAAATTTTAGGCATTTCAAAAAGGTTAATTTAAAATCCGCTGCAAGTTTGAACTATGTCTGTTATTTTTCCAAACCTCGTATTTCTTTGCATTGGTTTGTCCCAATGTTGACTGCGAAACAACATTCACACAAAAGATCACGAAAGTGTTTTGGGTGGCGCCAAATTGATCTCAAAGAATCCTCAAAGAAAACATTTTTTGGGGGTAGGAATGCTCTGTCAAACACAATTTACACCACATTGGATGCTGATGCAACGTGAACATGTTTCCGGATTGTTTTCAAATCATCTTTATGTTCCGTTCCAATTGTCTCCGGAAGCAACTTCAGCGCTGACATTTTGTTGGGCACTGTTGGCCTTTTGCCCAAAGGAAGTGACTATTGCATTTTAAACGGGTCATAATGTGACAATTTGGCCAGAGCTGTTTTTGTTAAATGTTGTGCCCAATTGATATCTTGAAACATTGTTGCTACAAGTTGATGTCATTTCTGCGTTCTGCATTGTTATTCATTTGTTGAATGACTCCACTGTTTGATGTGCGAAAACTGCCTGCACGTAAAGATATGTGAATTTGCAGCCCTCTCAAGATATATCATAGAGAGAATGTAACAATCACTGGGGTAAAAATGGGTTAGTTGTGAAAAAGTCATCTCACATCAGTTTGCCGGTGGCAGTGACCTAGAGTCGATGGTTTTTTATCGTTGAACCAAATGAATCATTAATCATCGAAATTATCCTCAATTTATCTATTTCCATCTTCATAAAGTGTTACCAGCTGCGCCAAGAGCCTGATCTCCATGATTCCATGTTTTTTTCATTCCGCGACCCGCGGAATTTATCAAAAACACTTCCAGCATTTGCTTATGCCTGAACCCTTCGCTCGCGAAATTTAACATAAACCTGACGGATCTACACCCCAAATTGCGAACAGTGATTACTTGTGCATGGTTTCTTACACGTTGGGGCATTTCTGTTTCGTTCACATGTCCCAGAAACAAGTTGTTTTTAAAACGTGCATCCCGCATCCCCAGTGCAATGAGGAAAGCGATTCCTGACCCTAGTTTATATGGACAGAAACTGCTGCCATATATCGGAAACAAAAATGTTCCACAAAACATCAACGCACGGGAAGCATTCCCGCAGCATCATCGTCACCCTCTTTGATGATTTGATTTGCGCTCAAGTTGGCATGGGATTCCTGCCCCTATAGCCCTTGATTTAGGGGAGACACCGTTTAAAAAACCGGCAGGAGACCCCAAACAGTGTGGGGGAGTGGAAGGATAATGTATGATGATGTGGATGAAGATGAAGATGAAGATGAAGATGCAGATGCAGATGAAGATGAAGATGAAGAAAAAGAAGAAAAAAAGAAGAAAAAAAAGAAGAAGAAGACGAAGAAGAAGAAGAAGAAGATGAAGATGATAGCGCGGGTGGTGATGATGGTGATGATGGTGATGTTGTTGTTGTTGATGATGATGATGATGATGTTGCGGACGATGATGTCCAGGATGATGAGGGGCAGGATGATGATGTTGAGGATGATAACGTTGAGAAAGATGATGAAAAGGATGATAATGTGGCGGAAAAGGAGGTGGAGGATGATGATGCTATGGACCGAAAGGTGGTTGAGGTCTCCTATCTTTCTCTCTCTTTCTCTGACTATCTACCTACCTATCTATCTATCTATCGATCTATCTATCTATCTCTCTCTCTCATCTAACTACCTTTCGATCTATCTATCTATCTATCGATCGATCTATCTCTCTCTCCCTCTCTCCCTCTCTCATCTAACTACCTTTCGATCGATCGATCGATCGATCGATCTATCTATCTATCTATGTATCTATCTATCTATCTATCTGTCTATCTATCTATCTATCTATCGATCTATCTCTCTCTCCCTCTCTCTCTCTCATCTAACTACCTTTCGATCGGTCGGTCGATCGATCGATCGATCTATCTATTAGATGTATCTATCTATCTATCTATCGATCTATCTCTCTCTCCCTCTCTCTCTCTCTCATCTAACTACCTTTCGATCTATCTATCTATCTATCTATCTCTCTCTCATCTAACTACCTTTCGATCTATCTATCTATCTATCGATCGATCTATCTCTCTCTCTCTCATCTAACTACTTTTCGATCTATCTATCTATCTATCCATCTATCTATCTATCTATCTATCTATCTCTCTCTCTCTCTCTCATCTAACTACCTTTCGATCTATCTATCTATCTATCTATCGATCGATCTATCTCTCTCTCTCATCTAACTACTTTTCGATCTATCTATCTATCTATCTCTCTCTCTCTCTCTCTATCTATCTATCTATCTATCTACCTATCTATTTTCTATCTATCTATTTATCTATCTATCTCTCTCTCTTTCATCTGTCTATCTGTGTCGAAACACGGAGCTCACCGAAAATCACGCCTTTTCACAAGGCTATTGGAGCCGCTTGATACAAGTCCAGGCACACATGTTATGCACCGGACACATGTTTTTGTGCACCTGCAGTACATGACAACACTTCTGATTTGTGCGTGTCATTCTTGCCAGGGGGTCATGCTGAACAATTCTGATACCCCGCCTCAAAGTTTTGCCAAGCCGTGTGAGGCATTCCTTTGCTTTTCCTAATCGTCAGTCCATGGAATCTGGCTCGGTTGATTAGCCATGTGGTCTTGATGAATAAACCACTGTTCCACAAATCAACCCCAAGTTGTTTGGTGATGTCCATGGACCACGATATCGTTGAAAGTTGTGAAACCGTGGCACCAAGCGCCATAGTCCAAGGATAAATCTGGCTGTCCTGGGTACAAAGACATCAGGTGTGTCTGATGGTATTCCTTGAGAATTTGATGGTTGAACATTCCAACCTCCTGTGCACGCTTTGCTCTCTCACGCTGACTCACTGGCATGTGCTGGTAGATGACGTCGAAGTCGTCCCAATCGATTCCAACCAAAGGTAATGGTCCTGGTTCATTCTGTGAATGAGGCGAACCTGGAAGACTCATGTATTCTCTGGTATGGCTTTCTGAGCATCCGCACCATGTACTTCTCCAGGATGATGTGCTCCATCGCCACCAGGTCCATGAAGATCTGCTGGTTGTAGAGCTGATGTTGGAGGGATCAGCTCATCCACTTCCATGTCTTCTTCTTCACCACCTTCGCCCAAAGTCAGGTCAAAGGCGTTGGGTGGGCCTGTTTCGCTGAACCATGCTGAACCCATATTTCGCCCTTCTTAGTCTTCTCCTGTCCAATTTGACAAACCTGGCTAGTCCTCCGGGACATTCTCTAAAGTATTCTTCTCCGGACTCAGCTTCATCCACTGATCTCAGAATCCGGTACTGTCGTAGTTCATGGCGTTCAGGACCCCAATCATCCACATACCTCATTTCTTGCTTCTGACCAATGACTTCGGTCGCCCACTTCAGCGATGTGTTCAGCTCGAAGACGTGGGTCGCCTTCTTCAGGTAGTACCCCATGAAAATACCGATGACCAGGAAGATGAGGCCGTAGAAGAGCATAAACCATGGAAACTCCATGAAGATCTCCACCAGCTCAAAGTGTTGCACCATGACCGTGCAGTCAATGCCATCAGCGCGAGATGCACCAACCAAAGGCTGTAGGGCCATGATCGTCACCGCTTTCACCATGGGCTTTGATAGTTGAATTGGAAGTTCATCCATTCCACTGGAGAGTGAAGCCAGCATCATCTGTCGCACTGACTTCATTGTTTTCCCAATTGCCTTCTTTTGGAGGTAGGTATTGAACTCATCCTCACCAACTGCTGCGTAGCTCTTGGTGTTGGAGTCGTACTGGACCAAGCCAATGAGGAACATCAGGAAGGCACGACGAGCTTTTGCCAATCGTTTCGTCCCAAGGTCGGCACTGTTCAAGACCGTGGGGATTGCATCCAGTTCCAAAGATCCTTCTTTGACTTTCTGTTGAAGCCAAAGATGCTTCACGTTGACATGCTTCAACCTTCCGACTCCTTGTCGTTGAGAAAAGGTTCGGCATGGTGACGAGTCACATGCTATCCTGGCTTGAGTTGGTTTTCTGACCAGGAACTCCCATAGTGCAGCAATGAAAAGAGCTTCTGCACCTCCACCAACGCTGGCCAAATATTCACTTTCACAACTGCTCAAGGCAATGCTTCGTTGAGTCCTTGACCATGCCAGCACCAACTTGCAGGTGACATAGAGCATCACCGATGAGACTGAATGTCTCCTCTTCTCACCAGCTGATTTGTCACCTGCCCAGTCCGCATCTGTGAAGACCTCCACAAGGTCGGTGTTCAGATCATCAGGATCTGCTCGGCCATGAATCTCGCTGAGCTTGCTCTTGTTGGACATGTTGTAGCTCAGCAGCATGCCAAGGTCAGGCGTGCCCTTCAGGTACAAGATAACATGGCGTACCCCAACTTCAGCCGCCAATGTAGGGCGCGACATGTATTGGCTCAGATGGCGAACTGAGTGTTGGATATCCACCCGATCCTGGCTAAGGTATAATAGGGTACCCATCGCCGATCGAAACCGATGCTTGTTTTTTTCATCCAGCTCCTTTGAGGCGAAATCCTCTGAGCTCACATCAGGTGTACCCCTTGGCTTGCGGTGTTGCCAACCATACAACGTCACCAATTCCTCAGTGTATCGCTCGTGGGGACTCACGATAACCCCCGCCTCCGTGAAGAGGTGTCTCTTTTTCAGGAACCTGATTGGTTCCCCAGGGCCTTGATCTTTGGAAGGGACTATTTCTCCTCCTTGCAAAGTAAACTTACCCTTCAACCCGGACACAAGCCATTCCACTGCTTCTCGTTCACCTCCCAAGATGAGGTCGTCTACGTGAGAGCACAAAACCAAAGGCTTCTCTTTGTGCCTGAAAAGGCTAGGTAGCAGTGGGGTGGTCTCCATATCGAGGGCTTGAAGATGTTCACAAAGAAAATCAAAGAATCTTGCTGCTGCATGTCTTTGACCAGGAAGACATCGACCCAAAACCCAATACCTGGTGTTTTCACCATCATTCCACCAGCTAGGCTTTTCAACCAAGATCTTTTCACGTTGAGGCACCAAGAGGAACGCATCCTTGGTAGCAGCAGTGAGCTACCAAAACCAATCTTGCACCAGCTCCTGGCGTTGGAGCAAATGTAGAAGCCATTCCTCTGTCTCCACCTCGGAATTCACGTGCCACATAGCGACATCGGCGTTGCCACTTTTGATTTCGGAAGCGCAAATCCATGACACTCCTTGTTGAGAGGATTGTTCCTTCTTCAAGATCTCGGGCTGAAGGTTCGTGGATCACCTTCATCTCTGGGAGTCGAGAGATTTCCTCATAGCCAGTTGCTTGATCCAACCCTGCAAATTCTTCTGGACTGACATCAGGCGGCTTGCCTTCGTCACATTGTTCACCTGCATCACCATCATCACCTCCAAGATCGATCCAGTCAGATTCCAAAAAGTCAAGCTACCTCTTGTTCCCAGTTTTCATCATCCACTTCTCCAACCTCTTGAACACGTTGAATGTTTCCAGCATAGTGTGGGGCAAAGAGCTGACCAGAAGCCGATGAAGGACTCCCCTTATGGGCTCGCACGTGGAACCTTGGGCTCAACATGGCTCAACCTCATGAGGTTCACTGTCATCCAAGGCAGCGCTTTCCCCCAAATTATCAGCCGTATCAAGTCTGGCAGACTTGTGAGGGACAAATCCTTGATCAGCTTGACCGCGTTTTGCATCATCCAAGACTGACATCTCGGTGTCACTGGCAGGGTTTGGAGGGTGTATCTTGGCATACTCGATGACGTCTCTGGCGTCATAGCCCACAGTTCCTTCAGAAAGTCGAGTTTTGCTTCTCCACCACTGGTTTGGGTGTAGGTGGTGCACCAAACCTCAAATTCTTGAGTGTCGCCCTTCTGGAAAGGTTCTGCTAGGGCTTCTCCTGCACCATGAAGAGCCAAACAGATCGCCAAGGGTTAGTCAGCCGACGAATGGCCTTCCCTCTGATGAGGCCTTCTGGAGTGGCCACCACATGTAGATCATCTCCATCAGTCTTTGTAATCCACACTCCAGGGATCCATTGTGGACCAGTTTTTGTGTTTGGACCCTTTCTGTGAAGCACCAAAACAGCTTCACCAAATGAGGCAATTTTGGCAGAGTATCGCCGCGCATAAACCAGTTCAAAAGGTGATGTCCTGGTTGTGGTGTGGTTGGGGAACCTGTTCAGCAACCATGTTGCGCGTAGATAGGACCAGGGCCAAATGGCATGATCACCAGGCAGCTGCAGAGAGCATCTCTCACTGGCCATGTGGACCAACGTACTGTTCTGTTTTCTCAAGGTCTGGATAGCTCTTTCAATTTTGGCTGTGCGGCCTTTGTCACCAGGTCGAGAGTGGGTCACAACTGTTGGGTAACCCAACTGCTGTCGTAGAAGTTGAACGCTTGCCAGCAATGACTTTCACAGTTGGCTCAGCATCGCTGACAAATTCCACCTTGTCCCTGTGGTTCAAAGCCACTGAAAATCGAACCAAATGTTCAGCTTGGCCTCGGAGATTGAAGCCTTTCGAAGGAAGAGGCATCGAGGAAAGCATCTTGTTTTGACAGTCAATTGCCACCAGCACTGTTGAGACCGCATCAGACTCATCCACCTTGGAGTAGCAGTAGTCCACCTCAATGCTCGGAACAGAGCGTGTCATCAGCTGAAAACTCCACAGGTCGTTGAGGATCTTGCTTGCCCTTGCAACTGACACAGTAAGGGCAACAATCACGGTAAGGAAGATGAGAAAATTCATGTAGAGCAGCTTCTTCTGGAGAGGGTGCTCTTGGAATTCATTGTCCAGCCAAACCTAGCTTCCACTGCTCATCGTTGTACAGCTGGTTGAAAGCCAAGAACAGTTGTTCATGCTCCAAAATTTTGACCTTCTGGTTCAAGCGAGACCAGATTACTTCCTTACTTCCGTCCTTTGAAATCCCCAAAAATTCCGCTGCTGCTCGAAGAAAACCAAAGCTGCTGTCAATCGTCAGGCCCTCTTCATTGACCACCAGCGTGTCCTTGTTGGCAACTGCCACTGAAAGCTTGGAGTTGGTTTTCCACTGGCTCCTTGAGGATCCACTTGGTCAACCTCCTCGGGCATGCTATGTTCCATCAGCTCAGCTGGAACTTTTGGTTCCTCTGGATATTCAAAAAGGTTGGGATCACCATTCCTTCCACCAATCCCCACCAACTCTTGTTCACCAACTGCTCCAAAAACTGCAAAAGGTTCCTCACGCTTGTGCAACATCGTGAGGATAAAGGTCGGTCTGGAGCACTTTTCAATCCCCACATCCTCAAAGCATAGACGAAGTCAGAGTTGCAGAACTCCACAAACTCCCATGAGAAATCATCACGCTGGGACATAGTTGAGCGCATAGGCCAATCAGCTCGAGAGTAGACCCACTTTGGATTGAGGTAGGTCGATAAAAGGGTTTCCAGAGCTTGATGTATTCAAACCTCTTCTCAAGATGTGCCGCGTCAACTCCTCCTTTCGAATGATGACTGTCTGGATTGCCATCATGTCATTTTCCTCCTCGATGATCTTGCCCAGCTTGGGTTCAGGAACCTGTTTGGGTTGCTTTGGAAGTCGGGCCATAGATGCAGAGGTTGATGTTGATGTTGATGAGGCATCTCTTGCACTGACAACTTGAATGCTGGCACAAACTGCCATTGAGTTCCGTTTGAACTCCAAGGGTACTTCAGCTTCACCATCAGGGGACACAAGAGTCACCATTGCACCAGCTCTGCTGTTGGGCCTGAGGCTCCACCCACGATGTAGTAGTCGACCAATAGATATCAGTGCACTCTGAACTGAGACCACAATGAAGTCGTCCTCAATCACCACCAGGTCATTGCTGAGACCCTCGCACTCCACACGTGCAGATCTCTTGCCAAAGGCTTGAAGGCGTTCTCCTTGGGCATTTTCCAAAATTGTTTCGCCACCAGACTTTGGAATTCCACATCCAGAGAGATGATAGGGCAAGAGACTAATATCAACACCTGAATCGAGCACCACCAGTTGACCAGCTGGAACAGCTCGAATGTAGAGATTCTCATCCTCGTCGTGCACACCCTGGCGCCAATCCAAGGTACAAAGAAGACCATGGTACCAATCCATGAGGGGATCATTGGACCAACGTAGTTCACCTGGATGGTCATTTTCTCCAGAATCCAGTTGAAACCACAAAGTCGAAGTGTCAGAGACCATTCTGACATACCACTCATCTTGTTCATCACCCTCGAGGTCACTCCTAAGCTCAAAAACCTCAGGATGTTCAGCAGGTGGTGTGGCGACATGGTACATCTTGACCAAGCGCACAGACTTGGATCCCGAAGAGAGTGACTGTGAAGTCGTTGAAGATGTATTTGCCCTCCTTGTTGATGTAGATCCCGTAGTGCTGGCAACATCGTTGGGAGCTCCTTGAATTTCTCCAGGATTGCCAGCGCCACCTACCTGATTGACATTGCATAGACGACATCTGTTGCTACTGTTTCCACCACCATAACCTTTGCCTTTTTGCTGCTTGCCTTTATTTTTTCCCTTGTTTCCTTTTTTTCCTTTGTGCTTTGGTTTTCCTTTGCCTCCACCCTTCTGATTTCCACCGTGTTTGCCACCATATGGCAAACCAAACCAGCTGCCCTTTTTGCCTTTTTGTTTCCCTTTGGACTTGCTTTTCCCTTTGCCTGAACCTGATCCACTTCCATAGGGCTGGACCTTGGTAGTTGGAAGAATTTGAGGACGTAAGCTGGTTGAAGGCCTGCAAATTCTTCAGGAAGTTGTCACCAGACCACGCTTTTGTGTTCTTGTCCAACAGGATCAACTTGTCCTTGAGCTTTGCGTAATCCATCCCTTCATCCATGATCATCTCAAGGTGTCTCCTTGTGGGTCCATCCAGGCAGCGCAAGACAATGCTGACTGTCAAGTCATCTGGCATGCGATGACCAGCTGCCAGCTCATACTGATCCAACAGCGCATCGAACTGTAGCAAATTCTCCAGCATGGATCTCTGTTGAGGAAAACTGGGATGCTGCATAATGGCCTGACCCATGGCCAATGCTCGAGGTCGAGCTCTTAGGGCATAGAGCTGCTTCAATCGATGCCATACTGCAAAGCGATTTCGTTGATCACCATGAGCTCGAACAATTTGTAGCGCAGGTCCTTGCAAGCACGATGACAAGATTGAGTACAGCTTTGTTGCGATCCTGCACTTGGGTTTCAAGGGTTGGCATTTTTGTCATCGTCCCCAGTTGCTCCACATCTTTTATCAAATCTGCGAGCCTCCCATCGCAGAAGGTGAGCCAATTGAGGATCTGCCCACGCCAATCGGTGTAGTTCACCGGGTCGTCAGTGTCGAACACCTCAGGAGCTCGAAGAAGCTTTGCCCCATCACCAAGGCGAGGTGCTTGAGACCCTTTTCCACCAGCAGCATTGTAGGCCTCCAGCATCTGGTTTGCTTTGTTGGGTTGCTGTAGCTGCCGCTGTCGACAACTCCATGATCTTTCCAAGAAAATCTGTTGCCTGGGCTGCATCCATGGCTGAGGTCGTGGGTGTCGGGGCCAAACCTTTCATCCTGATGTAGGATGACCATCTCGAAGCCAAAGTTCCTTCCCACCTGCAAGACTTGCGATGTGGGCCTCGATACTGGCTCAAACGGCTTGTCCTTTGTTTCAATCTCCTCCTTCTCGCCCTTCTGTTGAACTTGATCCCAAGATGGGCGATGAAGAGGAGGAGGGCTATGCATGATGTTGTAGGCCAAGGGGACAAACATAACATACTATAAGTCCATGATGAACACATAAGAGTCTAAGAACATGCTACGCAGTGGCTTGTAGGGCTCGTCCATGTCTCATGCATTGAGAGCACCTGGTAGGTTGAGGCTGATTCCAAAGGGCTCCGAATCCTTAGCGCAGAGGCACCAATCCACTGCTGGGCGGTTCCAATCCACCTCGAACTTGTCGGTTCACAGCACCTACCATTTGAGCTCTGGACCACCTTGAGATCAGTGAAGACCACCAGGGCCTGAAGTTCAACGCCATAGCCACCAGCACGTAGCACCAGGTTGTAGGGCTATTCAATGTTGTAGATTCCACCAATGTCCTCGAAGTGCTTGGCCAACATCTTCGTCTCATTGTGCTCGTAGGTTGGCGTGGTGTAGGGTTCCAATCCCTTTCACCTGTGACACCATCCACCACATCGAATTGGTGATGGTGGTTGCCGCCTCCGCAGGCAAGGAGGACCAATGGCATCACCATCCATGCCAAGGTCATCCAGCACCGTCACGCTGGCTCCGCTGCCATGTCGAAACACGGAGTTCACCAAAAAAAAACACCTTTTCACAAGGCTATTCGAGCCGCTTGATTTTTTTTCCCCCGCATCTTTTTACTGCAATGGGTCTCTCATTCTTTGGACGGTTTTTATACTGGCCCGTCTCCAGATGTGCTCTGGCGGACTGTTTTTATACTGGCCAGTCTCCAGATTTGAAAAATCCAGAAAAGATGGTTACGCCAGGCGGCTGGGGGCTGGCGGTGGGTGCGGGGCTTCCGCCAGAAGTTGGCTCATGGTGGGGGAGTTGCTGTCAACGTTGGTGTGTGCCGACAAGTCCAAATCCAACAGGGAAGCCGCGAAGGCTTGCATGGCCGCTTGGCCGAGCATCGCGCTCCAGCGAGAAATCAAAGCATTGGCCATGGAACGTTGGAGAATGGCAGGAGCTTGTCTGGCTTTGGACTGTGCCAAAAGTCGAATGAAGGTGGCTGCTTCCTGGCTCCGCCGGCCGCCGACTTCAATGCCCAAGACGACCAGTTAGCAGCGCCGTGATGGGACCAATTCTGGGTAAGTTCTTTCTTTGCTGCGGCGTGCTGCGTGCAGGGCTGCCCCTGCAAAGGCCCCAGCCCGGCGGCGAGGTTGCCCGTCCCGGGTTAAAGGTGACACCAAGGTTGTGTCTATGGCTAACTGCACACCGCCCCACAGATCCAACCCATTTGCGATGACTTCAATACGGCGGTCATCGTGGCGGGATAAGTGCTGCACATTCAAGTCTGCGACTCTGGTGTTGGTGGTGACGCGTGCCCCGGCCTCTCGGCAGATGCGGGCGGCTGCCCGTTCGAGTGGCCCCCCCCGGCTGCGAAGAACCCCAGACTGCGGGCAAGCTGCGCGGTGGTCGCCAAGAAAGTCCAAAGCGCGACGGCACCGGCAGTAGCGGGCAGACAAAGGGAGTGGAAGCCGCAGGCGGCGGAGCAGGAGAACTCGGAAGATGGGTGATGGGTATGTGCTGTTGGAATTGTATGGGATCGTGGTGAATGGGCGACTGGCATGAGGCCCGGCTTGGGATTCAAGGAGTGCTTGGCTTGGGCTGTCCAGGGCTTGGAGCACCGCTGCTCGGTGCGTGTTGTGGCATGCCCGTGCTGCCGCCTGCTGCCAGCCACCGCCTATGGTCGGGCTCTCGGGTGCTTGGGGTGGTGGGTCTGGCACAGCTTGTCTGTCGATCAATTGGCTCCAATCTGGTGGTTCCCAGCCCAGCTGGCGGAGTTGTTCGGCACAATGGGTGGCTGCTTGGATGCTGGTTGTGGCTTCGGTTGGGTTGGACAGCATGTGGTGGATAGCTGCCGCTTGCTGGGGGGCCTGGGCTTGCAGGACAAGAAGAACGTCAGCCCAGGAGGCCCAGTAAGCTGGGCATGCTGTGGCTACTGCTGACGTCAGGCCGAGGCCGCCCATGTGAAGGGGCAAGTGAGCCGTGCCTAGAGCTGGTGCTGGAAGGGGTGCTGTGTCCAAAAGTCGGGTGAAGCATGCTGCGACTGCCACATCGTGTGCGGCTGCAAAATGGGCTGTGTCGTGCGGCGACAACATCCGCAATTGGTAGTTGCACCGTGGGCTGGCACAGAACAATAATAAGAGCCAAGATGCTTGCAGGTCATCTAGTTCAGGGATGCGCTGTAAGAGTTGATCATGTTGGGTTCGCAATTGTTGCAAATGCTGTTGTTTGTATTGCGGTGTGCCCACTGGTGCCCCGAGGACCATGAGGCCTTGTCGCTTGATACAAATCCAGGCACACATGTTATGCACCTGCAGTACAGGACAACACTTCTGATTTGTGCGCGTCATTCTTGCCGTAGCCATTTTGGCTCAAGTTCTTGGCCCAAGCGTTGTTCGTTTTTGCGCAATGGCTGGAATGACTCCAGATCGACCAATACAGAAAAGACGGCTCAGGTCACCCCTGCACGAAATGGACGGTGAGGAGGCGCATGACGATGATGAGCTAGTGGGGACCCCGAAGTCCACTTCAGAAAGTGCTGGCCCGTCTTTGGATGCAATTGCGGCTATTATGCGCCAAGAACTTCACACAGCCATCAGTCCATTGGAAAACCAATTGACCTCCATGGGTGTTACGTTTGAGGAACGCATGGGCAAGATTGAAAACACAATGGCTGATCAAGATGTGCGCCTGTCCCGTTTGGAGCAGTCGATGGCAGCAGACCCTCCTGACACAACTCCGCTGTCAGACTTGGCTGACAAATTCGCAGAACTCCAATCCCAAATCGATGCTATCAAAGGGACACCCCATTCCAGTGAAAACGATATGGTGAAGACCATGGTGGTCGGAGGCTTGCAAGGATGTGAAACTTTGCTGACTGCAACTCAGTGGCTACGAGAAAAATTGCAATCCCTGAATGTGCCAACTCCATCCGAAACATACATGAAGGGTCAAGTTTTCAACGGCATACTGTTTGCCAAGTATCCAGCTTCGTTCGCTAGGGATGTAGCCGTAGCAACACTTCGGAGTGCAAAATTGAAACATGATGACCAACAGGTATGGGCAACCCAGGATCTTCCGATCCCGACTCGTGCCAGGAAAATGTTTCTGTTGGGTCTACGCTGGCAGCTTGGTGAGTGGGGTTTCGTGAAGCGGGAGGTTGAGATCGATGATCACTACACCAAAATGGCCATTGCTGGCAAAACAGTGGTGCAAGTTTCCAGTGTTCCAGGCGATCTGAAAGTCGAATGGGCTCATGGATGGGCAGCTTGGGATGAGTTTCAATCGAGTGCTCAACTACAACAGATTATGGACAGAGCGAACCAGGTGTTGAAGAAGCAAGGGAAAGGCACGGGCAAGAGCAAAAGCAAGGACGCAGGTGCTGCGGCATACACTGCTTCCTAGGGAGTGCGCCGTTCGAGTTCGCAAGAAGGTGTTTCACCCATGCAATTTTCCAAACAAAACCGATCGATTTTCCACACATTTGCAAAAAATGCACGCTTGAATTCAGATGTGAAGATCGCCGAGGTACTGGGAGAACTTCACAATTGCAGCTGGGACATTGTGATGTTCAGCGAGACAAGGAGCTTCAGAGAAACCGTTACATTGACTTCAGGGGACCAACTGTATTCCTCCACGCAGCCAACAAATGCAGCTGGCGTGGCGATTTTATGCCACAAAAGGCACGTTGATGCTGCGATTTCTGTGCAAGTTGTTTCTGAACGACTGATGTACCTTGATTTGAAGGTGTTGACTGGTCTTGTTCGCTTTGTTGCAGTGTACATGCCGCACATGGGGTATCCACACCACGAACTTCAAACTGTGTATGACCAACTGCATCTCATTCTTGATGGTGCTGCCCGTGTTGGCGCGCAAGTCGTGGTGGGGGGTGATTTCAATACTCAACTCCATGTTGGTCACCGCGGCGAAGTTTTGGAACATTTTTGTACAAATTTTGGCTTACACGTCGCCAATGATGATGATGATTTGATCGAAAATTGGACTTTTCGTAGCTCACTGGGGGTCAGAAGACGAATCGATTTCATTTTGTACTCATCATCGTTCTCATTGGCAAGCAGCTGTGCCACAGACATTTTGGATTTGAACTCCGATCATCGTGCGGTGCATGCTGCTTTGGAAATGATTACGCACACAAGGAAGAAGAAACGCAGACGCACCAGTAGATGGCAACCAAAGTGCCTGAATTCATACCAGTCCCAGCTCTCTGAACAACTTCTTCACAAAGCTCCTGAATCGATCCATGAGTTGGGACATGTTATGTTGAAAGTTGCCGAGTCTGTCGGACATGGAGATGATGGAGCCGGCTCCTCATCCCAAGAACCTTGGAAGGATGCCGAGTTCCAAAATTTGTTGTCCCAAAGACGGGCTTGCCACGACGCAGTCCAACGAACGCAACTGTCCAAACGCATCCGCAAAATTTTGCGAGCACGGATGCGGGAAAAACGGAACCACCGCATTGCAAACATTTTGAAAGACTTCCGCCAGCTCGGGGACATGGAGATCGCTCATTTTGACCCATTCCGACCATGCAAGAGCAGTTCTCATAACAAACCTGTACCTGCAGAATTTGCAAGTTTCCTGGCCGACATTTTCAAGGTTGAGGATGAGTTGAAACATTTTTCGGCGCCCGGATGCTTTGCCATGATTGAACCCTTTACCGTTGCAGAACTCCAAGTTTGCTTTGCCCAAATGCGTGTGAACAAATGCCCTGATTCGCAAGGCCTTGTTGTGGAAATGTTCAAGCACGGAGGCCCGGTACTCTGGAATACGCTGATCGGCTTGTTCAATACAATTTTAACGACCGGGACAATTGAAACAGATTGGCGCAATACCTTGTTCATGATGATTCCCAAGACGGGTGACCTGGCAGCTCCCAACAATTGGAGGCCTATTGCCATTCTACAAATTACATACAAAATTTTCACGAAACTTTTACATAATCGTTTGAAGGAACAGTTTGAAAGCACCCAATGTTATGATCAATTTGGTTTCCGGCCTGG